TAGATGAATTATTTGATAATTGTAATGGGAGTGCAATAACTCCCCCTGACGGCAAGCCGTATCAAGTTACAAGCAATACAGGACACGATAAATTTTGGAATTTAACAAGGACCAGAATAGAGCAATGGCGATTTTTGAGGAATGCTAGGCAAAGTGTATGGAAACCACTTACTCAGTTAGGATGGCCACGCACCTTAAAAGCATTTGACAACATTTGGAAAGATTTACAATCTGCTGGTCTTGAAGCATTTCGTCCTAGGTACCGAAACCAAGATGCGTTAGAAAATTTCTTTGGTTCCATCAGATCCAGTTGTGGATGTAATGAAAATCTTACTGTAACTCAGTTCATAGGCGCATTTAAAACACAAGTGGTGAATTGTTTGGCAAAAAGAAATTTAAAAGGCAAAACTCGCAAAACTAATTGCGAGGAAGACAGCCTTGAACTTTTGCAATTTTAAAGAATTTTTAGAAACACCTACACCACAGCCAATTAAGGAAGAAGAACCTACAACAAGTTCCGTTATTGAATTAACAATGCAAGCTCTGCCTCAAGAAGTATTAACTACAAATGACATTCAAGACTTAATTTCATCTGGAAGTGTCCATTCCTTATCAGTTGCATATGTATCAGGATATATTGTGAAGCGAATTTTCAAATCCTTCAATTGCGATGTGTGCATGTCTATTTTAACATCTGATGACTTGGAACCATTTAATGCTTTTATTTCGGCCAAGGAACTCTCTGACGATACTAAACGATTATTTTATCCATCCGAATCTTTAGTAGTTACAGTAGGTCTTGCAATCACAGAACTAGAACGTATATTAACAACATACAGTAAATGTAAGAACATAACGAATATTTGTAAAGGAATAATTAATGAGAAGGTCGATTTTTCATTCTTAGACAAATGTCTTGAACACGTTGTATACAGGGTGCCCATTATGTATGGAATATAGTATACAGGATGTACGAAAAGTATGGAAGTATGGTTCTACAGCCTAAACTTCAACTTATATTAAAAAAAGTTTTAAATAAAAGTTACTTGAGACTATTTTCCGCATATCTTGATGTAGTAATAAAATAAAAATGATGACGGCAGTTTGAGTTATGACATGGTGAATGTGTTTTTTAAATGAACAGCCTGTTTATTTTAAGGTTGTTGGATTCCTTTTGACAAGGTGTTTCAAAATGCGATAAGGTTTTAATGCTTTAAACTGCATAGTTTTCGAAATATTGAAACTTTCATGTAAAAAGATTTGACAACCAAATTATGGCGTCATTGTGGGATTGTTATGTGTGTTACTATGGTAACGGTGGTGACTCAGCGTCACAGAGGTGGGCGGAGCTTATACCGACTGTAAACATCTTCGTTGCTAACGATAAATCCCCATATGCAATTTTTCAATTAGTGTTAAAATAAAATAAACTAAGCGACATATTAGATGACATTTTAAATGACATTTTTATGGCGATTTATTTTAGCAACTGTGGTTAGCAACGAAATTATTTGGAGTAGGTATAAACGCCGCCCACCTCTGTGCCGTCAGACGTAGGCAGTCTATTTTAAGGTGATTTCGAAAAGACCTTAATTGTAGATATTAAATAAATAAGAACATGGGTTTAGGACACGGAGATATTCTTAGTTATTCCAGTTATTGTTACTATTGAACATTACATACGCTTGTATAAAAATTACTAAACTACACATTTCTGGAGCAGGCAATGACGTGACGATATGATTGTTATGTGCGTTGCCATGGTAACGGAGACAGTTTAAACAAAGTAGAGTTGCTAGCATTATTAGTTAAATATCTACTAGAAAAATGGTACACTTAACGGAAACAGAACGAATTATTATTTTAACAATGTTTGGTCTTGAAGATCGTATGAGAACGCAACATGAAGTATGTGTTTTATTTAATGAAACATATCCAAATCGACAACCAATTAGTCAATCGGTTGTTAGTAAAACTCTAAAACGTTTTAAGGAGACGGGTCATGTAAAGGATATTCCAAAATGCGGTCGGCCGAATGTTGCAACAAATGAAGATATGAGGCAAGGTGTGTTAGAAGAAATAATAGATAATCCACATACCTCGATTCGTCAACTAGCCTTAAATTTCGATGTCACTACAGGATCTATTCAAAACATTTTGAAAAAGGAGAAACAACATCCCTATAAACCAGCTTTACTGCAAGAGTTATCAGAAAATGATTTTGATAGACGTGTACAATTTTGTGAAGAAATGATGAGGCGAATTAACGATGATCTAAACTTCATTAACAAGATAATATTTTCTGACGAAGCCACATTTTATTTGAATGGAAAAGTAAATAGACACAATTGTCGATACTGGTCTGCTGAGAACCCCCGCTGGGTAATAGAAACTCATACGTAAACGCCGCAGAAAATAAATTTGTGGGCAGGTATTTGTAGAGATCGAATTATCGGCCCGTTTGTAATCTATGAAAACCTGACTGGCCATCGTTATCTGGAATTACTGCAGGAACAAATAATTCCGACCTGTAGAGACCTTTTTCCGAACGAAAACAATCTCTGGTTTCAACAAGATGGGGCACCACCTCACTATCAACTAAATGTACGCAGGCTTTTAGATAAAGTATTTTTGAATCTTGGGATAGGCCGTAGGGGTCCAGTAGAATGACTACCACGCTCTCCAGACTTGACACCATACGACTTTTTCTTATGGGGTCACCTAAAGAGCAAGGTATATAAAAAGCGTCCTAACAATTTAGCAGAATTAGAACGGCGAATACGGTACGAAGTAGCTCAAATACTGCCCGATCATTTAAGAAATACAATTAGAGCTTTTAGTGATCGTTTAGGCCATTGCCTTGCTGCTAATGGACAACATTTTGAACATTTAATTTAATATTGTTACCGTTTTTGTTTTATTTTTTTTTATTGTTCGTTATGAAATTTCATTGTTTAATTATTATTTGTTACAATTAAATGTAGTAACCACCCATGTTCTTATTTATATAATATATACAAGTAAGGCCTTTTCGAAATCAACTTAAAATTCGGGCGGAAACTATCTCCGTTACCACAGTAACACACATAACAATCCCATAATGACGCCATAATTTGTTTGTCGCAACGTCAAATCTTTTTAAATAAAAGTTTCAATATCTCGAAAACTATGCAGTTTAAAGCAATAAAACCTTATGGCATTTTGAAACACCTTGTCAAAAGGAATCCAAAAGCCTTAAAATATACAGGATGTTCCATTTAAAAAACACACTCACCATGTCATAACTCAAACTGCCGTCATCATTTTTATTTTATTTCTACACCAAGATATGCGGGAAATAGTCTCAAGTAACTTTTATTTAAAATTTTTTTTAATATAAGTTGAAGTTTAGGCTGTAGAACCATTATTCCATACTTTTTGTACAGCCTGTATATCTCGGTAAATGTTGACTTTATAAAAAACATTTTATACAAAAGTTGTTTAATATTGTATTTGCCATAATAACACTTGATTTTTTTAAATGGCAATATACCCTTTCGTTAGGCTCATTTGATAGAGATTACTTTTCTCTTTACGATGACGTAAAATTTATTTGTAAAAATTGTTTATTAATAAAAATTAATCAATAACATTAATCTAGATATCCGAGATCGTCAATTACCTCGAATTAGTACCGTAAATTAAATTTACATACAAAATAAAACAAATAAACGAAAAATTAGTGTACATCTTCAATAATTAGAAGTACCTTCGAGGTACTTGACGATCTGATATCTAGATTAATGTTATTAGTAAAATTTTTTTGAAAAACAATTTTTATATTTTTCAACAACGTGTTTTGTTTTATTCGGGGGATATTCTTCCAAAAAAAGGCTTGTACATCTATGTTATTTTTTTTAAATACTGTTACTATTTTATTTCCGGTAAAACAATCTTAAAAATGCCTTTTTTCTGGAAGAATATCCCCAGAATTTTTATTCAGAATCTATATTAATATTTTACATATAGTACCGGGCCGGACATGTGCTGTTTCTACCTGTAATAACAATAGTACTAAAACTAAGAAGGCAGTAAAATCAATAATATATCACAATTTCCATGGGATCCGGAAATGCAAAAATTATGGGCAACAAAAGTTGCAAGAACTGGTCAATGCAATTTCCGCACTTGGCAGGTTTGTTCGGATCACTCTAGTGAAGCAGATTATAATAAGGATCTGAGAAATGAATTATTAAGTATTGGTTGAAATTGATTAAAATCGATTCCAGTAATTGATTTTCTTTCGTTTAGCACTTCCCTTACGAAAGATTTTAAAAAAGACTGCTGTGCCATCACTTTGTTTAGATGATGAGAATCAAGTGAACATGGACGAATGTGCAATTATGCACAGAAAAGAGCCACAACATGAATTTGTCGATTACGAGGTTAAATATTCTGTACTTTTGGGGGGAAATAAGAAACTTGAACATAAATTATTGATGTACCAAACTAAAATAAAAAATCTTCAAAAATCATTAACATATTATAAAAGCCGATGTTTCACAAAAAGCGCAATATCCCTTAAAGTTAAATCAATATTAAAATCATTTTTAACATCCAACCAAGTGGATTTAATATTAAAAAGGAAAGAACGTATTAATTGGACCCAAACAGAAATATCGAATGCGTTTACTTTGTGTTATTATAGTCGCAAAAGTTATACATATTTAAGAACAGATTTAAATTATCCACTTCCTGTAATTTCTTGTTTGCGAAGATATGCAGCAAAAATAAAAATTAATGAAGGTATACTAAGTGATGTTTTAAGTTTCATGAACTTAGCTGGAAAAAATTAAATATATTTGAAAAACATACAGTATTATTGTTTGATGAAGTTAAAGTAAAAACGGTATATGAATATGATAAAGCTAGAGATAAAATTGTGGGACCCTATAGGCAGATGCAAGTTGTTTTAGCTAGAGGATTATTTTCAAGTTGGAATCAGCCAATATACCGTATTTTCTCGAATCTTAACCGCACTCGAATCTAATCCGCAAAAATTTGTGGCGACTTTTCAACAAAACGACAACAACACAATCGAACCCCTTTTAAAAAAAATACAGATCTGCAACACCTCGGCTTCCCAGTGAAGATGGGGTGGGTTTGAATTTATAAGGCGCCACGCAGTTTCAGTTACAGATCGCTCTAACTGCGAAGAGGGCTGGAAGGGAAAAGGTTCGACAACACCAACATATAACAAAACACAAAGAAATCGCGAAATCATATACCATATAAAAACAAATTTATTAAGGAAAAAAAAATATGGTAAAACAAAATATAAAGTATATAAGTAGTAAATAAAATAACGGAGATTGTTCAAAAAAAAATCCCGAATAATTAGGGGGGTAAAAGAGAAAGAAAATAATAATGAGCTGAATAAAACAAAATTAAAACAAATCTAAATAATGATCGCGACACGTCCCCGATTGACCCGAGCGCTCGATCAGGCGAACGGAAAAGAAAACAAAATCGAAATCAATACCGAAATTAATAACACCCCTAATAAATCCGATAACTTTACAAGAAAAATTAATTGACAATTAAAATGAGATAATAATAATAAAGAACTGGTTTAAAGTGAAATGAACAAAATGAACCAGTGAAGTTAACAAAAAAATTAAATGGTAAGTACAAAAGAAAATCTTACTTTATAAAAAAAATACAAAAGTATCTAACCACACTGATATTCTTTTTGTATAAAAAGGAAAATTCTGACCTTTATTCCAAACTCTTTTGAACGAAGGATGATGACTTCACGATGACAACAATTATACGTAGATACAGCAACAAAATCCAGCAAACCTCCTTTGGAAACACTTGTTCGATGGTAAGTACAGGAAACTTGGGTTATGTAGCTTCTAATTTACTTCTTTATTCCAGGTAGTACTTGTTTCCGGGATGGGAGATTTCCCAAGAACTTATATAAGGAATAAGGCTCTCAGAAAAAAAAAACCTAGCGTGTAAAAAAAGAAAGAAAAATGTAAATAGATAATTAGGCAAGAATGTAGGGATGGATGTTTTTATGTAGTGTGAAAGGAGTTTAAATGAATTTAGGTTTAAGTTAGTATTAAGCCAAAATTAGAGAAAATGTAAAAAGAAAAACCTACCTCAAGGTGGTATGAGGTTTTAACCAGCAAAATGAATAGTCTTTGTAAAAATGTGCAATAAATCCGGTGAAACCGTAATCGTTGAATAATTTCCAAACGAAAAATTAAAGGATTAATTAACTCAGATCCCGATAAATACGGATATAAATCGATCCAAAATTCTACACAGAATTATACCAAAATGTCGACTTAAAATTCTTGTTAACCATCCAAACACTACAAAGGCTGGTTTCAAAAGAGGAAGAGTAAAATCGCGCACGGGTATTCATTTCCCAAGATTTTAACCAAAAAACTCGTTATAAAATCGCGCGGTGCCAAGAATTCAAAATCACTCCCTCCCTCTATTATTGACAGTCCGAACTTAAAAATGTAAACAAAATTCATGATAGTAACGAAGAAGAGAAAAAGAAAAGTTTTAAGGTTAAGATTTATTGTGTGATTGTAATGAAGGTAATGAAAAAGAAAAAGGCGTTTAAAATGAGCGAAAGGAAAGGATTTAAGAAAAGTGATGAAAAGGAAAGGATTTTCAAGTGTTTCCAAGTTCGGCTTGCTGTAACAAAAAAACAAAAATTATAACAAGGTAAATAAACAAAATGGTATATAATTCCCCGACTTCTAACAATTACAGACAAATCACAAGGAAATTCAATAACCTCGAACGGAACCGTTACACCAGATTTTAAAAATTCATAGTGCTAAAAAATTTTTGTTTGCGAATGTAATCCGCATCTTTCTTTGAGTAATTCGACAACACCAAAACGATGCGATGCTTGTTGTTAACCATAAATATATATTTTTTCCGTTGACTGACGCTGATGCACCTAAAGAAACCTTGCTTACGACGAGTTTTTATTAGACTAGACTTTAAATTTGCCAAGCCAGAAAAAATTGGAAAATAAATATAATTTTAAAAATAAATAGTAATGTCTAGCACGAATTCAGTTCATATACTGCCCTCGTAGTAGCTCGAACGTGGTGTGTACTTAATTATACATATAATAGCGTTATTATAAAAAAAAGTTGCAAAAATCGAAGAGGTTCTTCTATACAGCGAAGTTTAAAGAGATGTTATTAAGAGTTAGCGTTAAGAAAATCGAAAAGCTGGTACAATTTTTGCTGTTAATGAGACTAACGTTGCGGCTGTTGCGGAAAGATAAGGCAGCTTTTGCAGACTGTGAGGCATCGTGCATAAAATTTACCGGGCCAAAGAAGAGACGATTTCATGAAATTGACGAGGCAGTTTCTAGTTCTCTCAAGAAAAACGAAAGGAGGGACTAAAAAGTTTTTAATACTAGCAAAGGTTGGACTGTGGGATTTATGCGCCGAATGGTGGTATCCTTGACGCGCAGAACTACAATTTCCCAAAAGCTCCTAATGATTTTCAAGAAAATTTCAATTTGTCTCAAACTGTGAATGCACTGGAAAGAACAGGTGTGTGGGAAATTTCTTTATAAACGAGTGGTTGCGAAAAATTGCGCATAACATTGATTGAGAAAAAAACCAGTCTGAAATCTGACAGACTTCCCGAATGACGTCTTATCGTTAGTTAGGCCACAACAAAAAGGATGGATAATGGAAAAGCTGATGATGGAATGGTTAAGACAAGTATGGAGTCGTAGACCAGAAGGATTATTAAATAAGGATATTAATTAATCATAGACTGATTGCCCTTGGTTTAGATTTCTTGTCATAATAATAATACCTGGTGGAATGACATCCATACTACAACCGGTATGTATATGTATATTAACAAACTCGAGAATTAACAAAATCGGGAGCAATTAAACGAGCTTCTGAACTTGCTCAGTGAGTGTGGGCGACATGGAAAACGATCCCTGAAAGCAATATTATAACATCATTTAAGAAGTTTTGTATAATCCGAATTGATCCGTATTGATCCGAAGATGACGTAATATGGGAAGAAAATGATACGATATGTAAATATCGTTCTAAAACCCTTAATAAAGTGTTATTGTTATAATGTGATATTATTTTACTATTTTCCAAATTGCAACTATACGACTGCGAATCTAATCCGCACCCGATTGTAATACGCATTTGATTTTAGAGCATATAAAATTTGTAAAAAAGGTGCAGATTACATTCGAGAAAATACGGTATATAGGATTAGATCAAAAAATGACCAAAGTGATCCTGTTTGATATTATAACTGCATTGCACAATTTAAGTTATACAATTGTTGCTTGTATGTACAAGTGATTGTGGAGCAAGTAATATGTGCTTGTGAAAGAATTGGGTATTACAACAGATAATACCAGTTTCAAACACCCTACAACAAATGACAACATTTATATGTTTGCGGATGCACGCCACTTATTAAAATTAATAAGGAATTGGTTATTAGATACCGGTTTCTCATTTAACAATTCCATCATAAGTAAACAGCCATTAATAGATCTAGTAAATTTAACAAACCAAGAGTTAAATGTTTGTTTTAAATTGTCATCAAAACATGTTGAGTGTATTAAAGCAAAGCGCCAAAATGTTAAAATGGTTTGTGAGTTGTTGTCACCTGGGTCATCTCAAGAGCTTGTGGATAATTTGGCAGAATTTATTGACATAGTTAACTATTGGTTCGATATATTTAACAGTTATATTGAAACTGATAAAGTACCAAGTAAAAATGCTTATGGTACTGATATAGTAACTCAAAATGAAATACTTGATAGGATGAAATATTTAATGGGAAATATTATACCATTAGGGAAGAAGTCTTTGCAAACCTTCCAGAAAGCAATAATCATTCCAATTATTTCTTTGAAAGAATTGTTTCAAAAATTAAAAGAAAATAATAATAATATACAGTATACTTGTACTTATACACTAAACCAGGATGCATTAGAGAATTTCTTCTGTCAACTGAGAAGTAAAGGTGGTTCAGACGACCATCCATCGTCTTTAAATGCATTATACAGGGTGTCCGCTGAGGTATCCGAGAAACTTTGTATATGAATTCTATAATTAATTTTAAGCACAAATGATTCTATTCATTTTCTCGAAATCCAACCGGTTGTTGAGATATCGAGGTTTGAAGTTGACAGATCATATGAATAGCATGCTAAACAGTACAACACATTGCTAGGTTGCCTATGGAAAAATTGCGATTTATTGTAATAAAAGCTTAATGACACTGCAATTATTAAAGCTGCTCAATGTGACCACCGCCTTGTGCAATGCATAAATCCTTTGTCGGAGCTCTCGTTTTCAGTTGTAGTTCTCCATATTGTTTTTTACCTCTCGAAACGCTAGTTAGTCACTACTATTAGGCTTTCCCGTTGAATACGTAAGTGTCTTCACATGTCCCCACATGAAAAAATCTAGTGAGGTGAGATCCGGCGATCGCTGTGGCCAAGCAATAGGACCACCACGACCTATCCATCGATTTGGATACTGTTCATTGAGGAAATTCGTGACAATTTTTGCATAATGGGCGGGAGCACCGTCATGTAAAAAGAACATTGTTCTTCTAATTTGAATAGGAATGTCCTCAAGTAATAGAGGTAGATCGTTCTCCAAAAAAGCCTGGTACATTTCGCTGTTCAAATTTCCGTCGAAAAAATGCGGTCCAATAACAACATCACTAATTATTCCAGCCCAAACGTTTACGGAGAATCTATTCTGGAAATGGGTTTCTCGAATAACATGAGAGTTTTCGAATCTCCACACATGTTCGTTATGAAAATTGTTGATTCCATCTCTGGTAAATCTAGCTTCGTCACAAAAAAAGAGTTCTTGAAAGAGTATCCAGATGATTTCTCCACCATTCACAAAGGCGAACTCTTTGGGGAAGATCCTCGGGAAGAAGTTGTTGATACTGGTTGGTAATGATTGGTTGGGATGCAGTCCGTTTTCCCGCAAAGTGTCATGCACAGCCGTCCTAGCTTGTCCAGTAAGTACAGAAATTCTTCGCATACTAGTACCATCATCATTATCAACAGCATCAAGCACTTCTGCAACATTGTTTCTTCGCCTAATTTCTCTTTCACAAGTCGATTTAGGGAACGCACCTCTTAATCGAAGAGTTGTAAAGACTCTACCGAAGGTTTGCTCGTCTGGAAGACGGCGGTTTGGGTATCGTCGTTGATATTCCCTAACTGAGGCGGTGGTACTACCGTTGCAATATCCATCTTCATGTGGATAAGTTGCAGGCATGATTTTAGCACAATTGATAACAATGATGACATTGATGACAATTAATGACCTGAATGTCAACAATTTTATTCTAATATCAATTAAATGGCTAATTATTCAATTACCTAGCAACATGTTATTTACTGTTTAGTATCTATCCATACGAACTGGTAACTTCAAATCTCGATAACTCAACAACCGTTTGGAATTCGAGAAAAGTGATTAGAATCATTTATGCTTAAAATTGATCATAGAATTCATATACGAAGTTTCTCGGATACCTCAGCGGACACCCTGTATAGAATAAGGGCAACTATACTTGGAAAGAATCCCGGTGTTTTACAGGCCGCTACCAATACTGTAGATCGTGGTCAAGAAGAGTATGTTGTGTCTTCTATACTAAAAAAAATGGAAATTAAAATCACGGATGACTGCTTTTCGGCAGAAAGCACTCTAACAAGTGATTCTTCTATTTCTTTAAGATCAGAGAATTCAGATTTGGATGTGGCTGATAAAATGAATAATAAAGTAAAGACTCGCTTGAATATATAGCTAGCTATTTAGCCAAAAAATATAGAGATAGGTATTATAGGTTAGGTGATTACACTTATAAATTAAAGGAAGATCATAACTATTACTATCTCATAACTATATACCGTCGTGGGTGACACATTTATCTTACGCTGGGTTAACTAAACCCACAAATACATGATTTACTAATGTACAACACTTAAATACATTTTTTGAGCGTTTTCATGATATGAAGTAGTCACTTGTGTTTCAGACTGTGGCTCATCAAATGTAGGCTTATAGAGGGATTTACAGATTAATCACACAAACACTTATATCAGTCAACCGTGCATTAGAAACAACATCTATTTCTTTGCAGACAGTCCACATTTACCAAACCATTACTTTTCCTATTTTCCAAAACGTTACTATTCAACCGAATACAACGCATTGGTGTTAAGTGAATTTATAACTTTAGTAAATGACTGGTTTAATGTCATGATTTCACATACACCATGCAATTCAATTATATTAAAAAGTGGCTATGGTAAAGAGGTAGATCGTCAAAATCAAATATTGGATTCTATGCACTATGTCATGTCGGAATTGAAATGTAAAAATGAAAGAGTGTTGCAGACATTTCAAAACGGAATTTTCATAAGGACATGAAAAGTCGATATAATATCCAATACATCTTAACACATAGAGTAAATCAAGACGTGTTAGAAAACTTCTTTGGACAAATAAGAAGTTGGGGTGCTTTGAATGATCATCCGACACCATTGAGTGCTTTAGAAAGGATACGGGTAATTGTACTTGGTAATTCAGCCTTATTAGGATCTATTCAAATGCTGAAGACCAAGAAACTCAAAAAGAATATTTAGTAGGGACTGTGTTTCGAAGTGCAGAAATTGCCTTAGGTAAAGAGTCAACAACGTCATCACTGTCAGACAAAAATATTGATGAGGAATTAAATATATCTCTTGAAAATAACACCCTGTTATCAGAAG